TGACCATTATAACTGAAGTGGGCGGACATGTGATTTGAAAGTTAAAATGAGGGTTAGCTTACAGAAAAAAAGCATTCTCCTTTTAACCAACACATTTACACATCCTGACAAGACTCTTTGAGCAGAAACAATCAGTACAGTTTATTTTACATGCAGAAAAATAGAGTGGATTTAAAAAAAAATAGGGTTAAAAGCCACTATTTTAGCTCTGGCTTATAATCAAAACGATCAGAAAGACAGGACATTTGCAACAATGGTGGCAGGAGGCTGAAATGCCTTTTTTTATCTTTTCTCTGCTAAGCGTCTTTTGCTTCTGATGTGTTTTTCTGCAAAGTGAGAATCCCTCTGCTTTCAGTCCTAAGTGGTGAGCACGTCCACGGCCTCCAGGAGGTGCAGGGCCAGGCTGTACTGGGCGTGGTTCTCTGGCAGTATTTCGATCAGGCGGCCCACCAGCCGGCTGGTCTGAGGCAGAGGGACCAGGGGGCACCTCAGCTCACTGGGGTCCTGCAGCACACCGGGGAGAGCACAGCACACAACCGGTCACATTTCATTTCAAAAGTGACTTTAGAAAAAGCCGTTTAAAAATACTTGGAGCCTAAACTGCAGATTATTTTCTCTAAGCAGAAACTTAACTTTGCCCCAGAGGTCTGACCTGAGCTGGGGATAATATGTGCATTTACTATAAAACAGATGCAGTAAAAGGAGCTTAAATTTGTAGATGTGATGGAAAGTTATTTTCTCTTCGTCATTGTTTTGGGACCTTATCTCAGATATTCATGTAGACACTAATTCGTTTGGTGCTGAGTGTAACACAGCACCACTGTGAGACTGATGTAAGACTGCTGGGCGCTGTGTGTCTTACCATGGCCTTCAGCCATGTGCAGAGGGTGGGGGGCAGGCGGGCCAGCAGCTCCATGGCCGTCTGCGTCTGGCTCTGGCTGTGGAGCAGCGAGTAGCTGAGCCTCTGGCCGGTCAGCACCAGGAGCTGCGAGCCCAGCACATCCTTATCTTCTACCTCCAACATGGCCTAGATTCACACAGGACAAGGGTTATCCCTATTGATGGAAAAAAACTAAACTAAACAAAGCAGCTGAGGCTGTACCTCCTCGGCACGCGGGTCCAGGCCCTGGTTGTAGAGCTCGCAGACCAGGTGGCGGCGCAGCAGGTCCGGGCTGACCTGCAGCAGGGAGCCCAGCTCCAGACACATGGAGGGCCACCAGTCGGCCTTTGGCCCCGCGGAGGGCAGGGGGCCGGGGCTGGGGGCAGAGGCTGAGCTGGAAGGCTCATCTATGGCCTGCACCCAGCCTGTTAGCACCTGGGCAAGGAACTGAACCAGAGCCAGACGGAGTAAGAGGAGGGGTCAGACACAGGGCCCGCTGACCGCTGGGTTTCATCCAACTTCTCACCTCTTTCCGCATCGAGATCAGGCCAGGGTCCATGTCTCCGCTGGGCATCAGCTGGATGGTGGTCAGATCTCTGAAGAAAGCATTTTTACCCTAAAACGGAGTTAGCGGCAGTTAGCGGCTGATTCCAGACGTTTTGGGGGGGTTTAAAAGGAGCCTGCCCGCTCACCTTGCTGTCGAAGAGTCCGAGCGGTTTGACTTTGATGCTGAAGCTCATGGCGGCGTGCAGGATGGAGGCCAGCAGGCAGTGGTGCTGCACCAGCGGGTAGTGGACCCCCCTTTGCTCCAGGGCCAGCTCGGCTATGGAGGCGGGGCCGTCGGCCCCGGTCCAGACCTCCTCCACAGACAGCTCCGGGGCAGGGACCTCCTCCATGGCCGAGTCCACCTGCGGCCACAGACGAACCTCTGTTAAACCGCAGCGAAAACGTGGACTAACACAAAAAGGCGTGCTGTCAGTTTCTGCCACATCAAAGCACAACAGCAGGCCACACAAACCAGCACATCCTCCCAGGGATGCTCAGAGCAAAGCCCAAAGTCTGGTTCGGTACCCAACCCCCTTTTCTTTTTCTTTTTCTTGCCAGGCAATGACCACTCACCATGCTTTGCCCCGCAGGCTTTACTTACATAGAAAGGCATAAAAGACAAAGGGCTCTGATTCTTAACCAATAACGCAGTCACCTCCATGAGGATCTGCAGCAGCTGCACACAGCAGCCCAAGAAAGACGTCATGGCTTTGTCTCCCATCCCGACGTCCTGTCAACAAACAATTCCTCAGTTTAGCATCCCGACAGTCATTTTTTACGCATGTTATTCTCCACATTTAAATCAGGGAGGATTTCTTAGAGCTCCAGCTTACCCGTCGACATAGACGATCTTTGGGTGCTTTCCCCACCTAAAAATTAGGAGCAGAATTCAGATCTCAGTCAACCTACCCGAGGTGAAACAGATCGTGTGTCTGTGCAGGATTTACCTTCTCCATGAGGAAGGCCGCTGCTGAGAACCGTTTAACGATGAATGTACTCCACATCATTGTGCAGATCCCTGAAAAAAAAAGAAACAAAGTCCAGTGAAGATGCCGATACCTTTACTATTATTCCTACTGTGAGGTCTTCTTATCAGGTATTATAGCGTTCTCAGTCTGAGGTAATGATATCTGAGGATAATGGATGAAATCTAAACACAGATGTGGGAAAAGGCCACAAACCGAGTTGAATGTGAGGACTGGAGATCAGCTTCAAATGCTCCACAGCCCAGGACAGGTGCCGACCCTCCTGAAGGAAGAAGAGGGGCTAATTTAAGACTGTTTATTAAAAAACGGTCTCATTTTTTTGAGCGCAATAAATAAACGCACACTGAAAGCTAACAGATCTCTATGTTAGTTTAACCTGTGGCTGTTGGACTTTCTGTACCTCTGCAAAAAGTTATGAAATATTCAGATTGCTCACAGATCAAAAATTTACTAAGCCATATTTAAAGGGTTTTGACGCCTCTAATCCAGTCGGACAGCCACTGCTCTGAAAAATAAAACCTGTGTTTCAACAATAAGAGCTGGAGGGTTGTCTTCTCATGGTTCTGATGTTTACTTGGTTATTATAATCTGCTTCCACAAATCTGAAGCGTCGAACGCGGCTCAGGTACAGTTGCCGCCGTATAGTTGCACGTACAGTGCAGGATTTGTGAGCATGCTGGGGAGTGTGAGCACCTCTGGGTCTTTGTTCCACTGCACCACGTATTCCCAGCAGCAGTGTGCGAAGAGCAGGTCGGGAGAGAGGGAGTGTGGGAACCGCTCACACACAGCCACCAGCAGCTCTGAGGAGCACAGCAGCACGTTCAGAGGGCGGACGGGAATTATTCTGAAGGAAAGTGGCCACCGTTCGGTCACCGTTCGGACCCCTTAGCCCCACCTGCTGTCCGGTCGGTGCTGGTTGGGTTCCCCTCCTCGCTCCTCTGGTCTCCATCTCTCTGCTCCTGTTTGTCCTCTGAATTGTCGGCCTCTTTCTTGTGGAGGATTTCCTTCAGCCGCTCGGGGGCCATGTTTTGTCTGAAAACCCATTTTGAAACGCTGTCCGCGATGCCACCTGAACAGGGTGGGAGGAGAAAAGCCACAGTCTCAATCTGCCAGAGTCCAGGCGGCTCAGAAGAGAAGAAACAGCCAAAATACCAGTAAAACCAAGGGAGAGGCGTCGTACCCGTGCCTCCGTCCAGAAGAGTTTTGATGGAGATCTGAGCCGCGGCTCCCCCTGGTGTTCCCTGAGTAGAAGGCACCAGCAGGAGGGTCTGCAGCACCAACATGTCCTCCAGCTGCCGGACACACACGATCCACTGCTCCAGCTCCAGGGACACCGTCTCCCACTCTGACTGCAGCTGCAACACACACACACACACACACAGACACACACACACTCAGTTGTTTGCCTTCGAATGCTGAGAACGTCTCTTTTTGTTTCCAGTTGGGATGATATCTGCGTCCCGCCGCTCTACCTTGCCGTCGGCCCGGCTGGTGATGCTGGCCTTGGTGGCGCGGTGGGCTACTAGCGCGGCCAGTAGCGCGGCGGCAGCGTTGTGCGACTGGACGCAGGTGCTGCGGACCTGCTGCCACCAGGGGGAGATCGCCTGAGTGTCCCACGAGTCCTCCACTGCACCTGAGACAAGATGGAGGGTGTCTCATAAGCGTTTAGAGCCTTATGTGCTCGCCATGGAGCCGGCATACCATAAGAAATGTTGACAAACCTTTCATGTCGCCGAGGGTAACGAGTAGTGTGTGTAAGCGCCTCACAGGTTCAGACGGATTCTGCACAACCTCCTTTTCCCTTTGCAGCCACACACTCAGCAACAAAGACTGGCAGACGGGTAAAAGAGGAAAATGGACGATGTCAAACGTAAAGTGGAGGAAAGGTTGATTTTCATTTGGGAACGTGTCAAACTGTGAAGGGTCACAGCGGGAGTTTCTCACCAGGAGCTGCTGAGGACTGATGCCGGCCTGTTGGAGGGTCTGACAGACCCTCTGGAGTGGACTTCTACCACACAGACAACCCCAGAACATGAAGTTTCCTCCAGAGAACAAACAAAAATGCAAACCTCAGTCTGGGTTTGGGATCGACGTGAACATCGTAAGATTTTTCGTTCATTTAGGCTAAACATGAGCTGCATCATTCCCAGAAAAACTGTATGTCAGCTTTATGACTTTTTTAGTAAAGAAACTGATGTGCCAAAGAGCAGAAATGCTTCAGCGCCAAACCGACAACCTGACTGCAGGATTTTCTCCCCTTATTTAAAAATAACTTTTGGATGTAATAATCTTGCTTAAGTTGAGGATTCTCCTCCAGAGAACAAACAAAAATGCAAACCTCAGTCTGGGTTTGGGATCGACGTGAACATTACAAGATTTTTCATTCATTTAAAGGCTAAACATGAGCTGCAACATTCCCAGAAACGCTAAGAAAATGTATGGCAGCTTTATGACTTTTTTGTAAAGAAACTGATGTGCCAAAGAGCAGAAACGCTTCAGCGCCAAATTCAACACAAAAGAAACCGACAACCTGACTGCAGGCTTTTCTCCCCCTATTTAAAAAGCACTTTTGTAATAATCTTGCTTAAGTTGAGGATTTATCTAAGAGTACAGGTAAAGTTTCAGTGTGGCCGGACAGTTTAATAATGGGAAAACAGAAGGGCCGTTACCGAGCTGGTTCCATTCAGTCTCAGACTTGCGGATCACCTTCACCTCGCCGTCCTCGGTGCACTCCATCTGAGAGAGGAAGGCCTGGACGGGCAGAGGCAGGTCGGGCGAGTCCTGGGCAAAAGACACGCTGGGTTTGGTGTTGAGCTGCGCGTAGCGCTCCAGGACGGGCGCCACCCGGGCCAGCTCCTCCTCCAGGCCCTCCAGAGCCTCCTGCGGGGAGGGGAGCACACATGCGGTTCGATGCTGCCCGTATATTTTGGTGTGTTCGGATTTCCGGGAAACAGGACTTGCGTACGCTCTCAGGGCCGGAGTCGTGGTCGGCGGCAGACTGCAGCTGCTGCACGTCGCTGTAGAGCTGCAGCAGCTTCAGCTGGGAGGAGCAGATCTGCTGTAAAGAACCATCCTCCTCATCAGAGGCTGCACAGAGAGCAGGAAAAGCACATTTACCATCGATTCAGACACGAGCATTCAATTAATTGGTAAGTGGCTCTTATTTATGATTCAACATCCAGTCGAAGGGGGTGAAAAAAAGCATACCTTGGTCTTTTAAAGTGTCATTTAAGGCACACATGATGTTAGTAAGACAAGAGACAGGAATGTTCTTATTTGATAGCAGAGAGTCCAAAGCCTAAAAGGAAATGCAGATATTAAACCTTCCGACTGAGTCTCAGGCATCTGTTAATCGGGGAAATTTAAAAAACGTTGTGCCAAACCTGCTTCTTGATGGCGGGATGTTTGATCTCCAGCAGAGTGCTTTTTGCCTCGCTCTCTAAGGGTGCTGAAGAGAAAAAAGAAAAGAAAATCACCACATCAGAATCAGAAATACTTTAATAAGGAGGGAAATTATTTAATTTCAGAAACTGGAAGCATCACTGGTCAGAGGCAGGTATTCAGCCTACCGGGGTCCATGTCTCTGCTCTTTAGCAGAGCCGTGAGCCTCTTCACCAGGTGCATGTCTCTGGCCCGCTCGCTCTTTTTGTCACTGAAAGACACACACACACACACACACATCATTAGAGGGGCAACCTAGCAGATTTTAAGTAACTTCTTAAAAGAAAAAGTTCAAAACTGGCATAATTTGATAACATTTACAACTTCTTACAGTGAGATCCACGAGCTACGTAAAGTTTAAGACTGCAAAACCAAAATAAATGAGGGGAAACGGGCCCATACATCCACAGCTGAGGATTACAACACATGTGCTATTCCTAGAAATGGAAGCTAATGTTTGAGAGCTTTTCACCGTGCTGTGCACCGACCTGAGGGCCAGGTGGAAGGGGATGCTGACGGTCCTCAGGGCTCCGGTGGAGGGCTCCAGCAGACACACCTGCTGCGTGTGGAGCTGCCACCCCTGGCTGGTCACGCTGTTCACCCCCATCAAACGGTACCCGGCATACAGCAACCTGGAATGCCACCATTTTGGACTGTGAGCCGGTCTCTTTTTTCAGGGCGCGCCCGCGTCTCTGAGCCCCCCCCGGTTTTTACCTGCAGTGTTTGCCCACGGTAAAGGCCCCGACGCGGGGGCCCCGCTGCATGGCCCACACCTCCAGGATGCCCCGGCGGGGGGCGTAGATGATGAGGAACAGCGCGTGGCGTCTGGGGAGGGAGGCAGATGGAGAGAACTCCCGATCGCCACGTTCCTCTTGAACCTGCAGCCAACCCAGCTGGGCATCTCTGTAACCTGAAAAGTGGTTCATAAGGGGAAAACTTACCAAATATAAATAACTCTCTCAGGAAGTGTTGTCAGGACTACAAGTCAAACCTGATTTTGCTGTCTGTGATGGCTGACATGTTTTTGGACCAGAAAAAACTGATGTACAGTGGATGTACAGTGGGGGAAATAAGTATTTGACCCCTTTGCTGCTTTTGCAGGTTTGCCCACTAACAAAGAATGCCTATTTTTCCTCATCAGATGGTTATCAATTTTTATAAATTCATACGATGTGATTTTCTGGAATTTTCTTTAGGATTCTGTCTTTCACTGTTAGAATGTACATATGATTAAAGTTATAGATCGTTGCATTCTTTGTAAGTGGGCAAACCTGCAAAATCAGCAAGGGGTCAAATACTTATTTCCCCCACTGTACATTATGTAATACACTTTTCAGTTTCTACCTTATTCCTTTGAATGTTACCTTCCAAAAGCCGTGATCTCTGGTTTATCCCCCTCACCTTTCCACATGCGGATGGAGATGCCCCGGGCCAGGTCCAGCAGCGTAACCCGACCAAAGTCGTCCGTCACTCCGGCCAGCGTGTTGCATGGAGACAGACAAATGGACTCGCCATGACGACGAGAGTCTGGGAGGCCGAATCTTGAAGAAAGAAGTCAGGTTTAAGGAGGGCAGTGTTTAAGTTACTGACGTGTAGCCCACAGGGAAACAGCTACCTGATCCCCAAAGGTGTCGCAGGCTCCACTTTGGGTTTCTGTTTCTGAGGAGCTTCCTCTTCATTCTTGTTCTTGTTCCATCCCAACCAGCCGCTGCATGCAAAACAAGGAGAGAAACCTCATTTGATTTCAGCCAAAAAGCAACTACTGGGCAAAATTCTGGATGTTTAGATGCAAATTATAGAGAAATGTCATGTTTTTTAAAGCTGTAAAAACAACAAATAAATAAATAAAATAAAGCTGAAAATGCCCTAAAGACAAGATGAGATGAAAGATGAGAGGAAAGTTACACAACAATGAGAGAAACTAACAAAGACTGGTCTGTCTGTCTCCAACAGAGAGCTTGGTAGCTTTTCCCAAGTGAAACACAAGCTGGACAAACCAATTTATCTTTTAATCGATGCTCTAAATAAGAATAAATAAAGCTACGGTGTTTCGTTCAGACGCCTAAATGGATGAACTGCTTAAACATGCATTCTGCCCCGCATGAACACCCAAACAACCGAACCTGGCGGCGCTGAAGAGGGCTGAGGTCAGCTTGCTGGCCACCGCCATGGCCACGTGGGACAGAAGAGGCTGGGAGCTGCCCTGGTGACACACAGGTGGGAAATGTGACCCAGGTTAGACTTAGAGGTCCACAGGAAATATGTGACCTTATGTGTGGACATAAAGAGCCTCACCTCTACAGCGTAGTAAAAGCCTGTGTACGGCCCGGTTCCCACGGTGACGTACTGACTCATGGCGGGGGGGCTGCCCTTGACTGAAGCATGAAACCCCCCCAGGATGGAAGCGTTCTTCATTTGGTCAAACACGCACAGCGTCATAACGCCTGAAATCAGACGACATAAAACTCGAGTCAATCCCATCTCAGGACACACCGAACACACCCCGACCTGGAAGCTGGGTTTTCTCTTACCCACACTGCTGTGGTCCACGATGGCGTCCATTTCCTGGAGGCCCCACTTCTTATAGGCCAGCGGAGGAGGAGGGACCACATCACTGCCTGCTGCTGCAGCTGAGAGCAAAGAGGAGCCACTTCAACACTTTATGGTTCACAGCTTCTCTCTCTCTGTGTCTGGTATTTTGAAGCATGTCTCATATAGCAAACCTCTCTGCCCACAGGGAAGAGAAAAGGACCGATTGACCTGACGTTCCCCACTCACGCATACATTGATCAACCGTTCCTACGCATCTATCTGAAGCTCCACTCAAACTGAACTAAACCATGCAGAGGTTCTGCCTTAGGTCACGCCCCAGATCATCGTCAATTGACCCAAAAAAGCTGCTAAAGCCAGCTCAAAAACCTCTAAAGGCTTCGGCTACGTGTGTGTATCTCGAGTAGTACCTGCATGTCTCGCAGCAAACTCTATCCATCCAGAGAGCGAGTGGAAAACACAGCTTTGGTTAACAGCTATATGCTAACCGTCCATTAGACACACAGGTCTACTGGCGTTTGCCCACACGGACGCACGCGCCACAGCGGCCGTACCTCGTGCCACCTGGTTCCTGCATGCTCGCAGAGACTGGAAGAGACTGAAGCCGTCTATGGTGACCAGAGCTCCGGGGTACAGGATGCTCAGCTCCTCGTGCTGCGGAGGAAGAAAAGCCAACCAACAATCCTGAGCTGAGGAACAATGTGGGATCCAGTGGAAACTTTACAACAAACTGAAGAGCACAACTTGAGTTAGTGACATTAAACTGTTTGTCTACAAATGGCTACTCCTCAGGCCTCAAATGAGTCTTTAAACACATCACAAGTCATTAGTTTTGTTACAAGTCTTTAAAAGATACTTGTATTTGCTCTATCTGGAGCCATAAAGTCATCATTCACCTTTCCATTAGTGTATATTTAGTGTGCAGTATATCTGGGTTTCCTTGCAAAGCTTTAAAAAACCTCTCAAAATGTTTCCTTTGTAAACATGGTTGCTGCTGCACAATTAAAACAGTTAGAAAGGACTGGTCAATAAGCCTGAACGTGTGGAAAGGGGATGTTTCCTGCTGTTTCCACATGTCACTGATAAGCAAAAACTGATAAGCTCACAGGAATGGCTGTGGCCATGTGACAGGTTGAGAATAGGGGTTTAATAGGGGTTATATGGGCTCTTTAACTGAGAGCAGAACATTCTGATAGGTGTTTCTGGGATTGGAGTTACCTGTTCTGTGACTCCAGGGTGGCGCGGGATCTCATAGGTGCGACATTTTAACTTCAGCACGGGGTCTTCATGCAGCAGCTGGGCCAGCAGCAGAACCCCGCTCTGAGGAGAGGCAAACAGGAGCTGGTTTACAGGGTCCACCGACAAAAGGTGTCATCCAGACACCTGTCAGATCAGGCCCAAGGCTGAGACTCTCTGATCAGAGGGACGGGCTTAGATCATTTGGTCTGACTGTGTTTTAGTGTCATTCTTTAGACACACAGATAAGAGGAGGACAGGAATTCCAGAGAGGAAGAAACGAAAAGCAGCTCGATTAAGCTAGATCATTTTTATTCATAACAGAGCTGAGAGGAGTTAAGGGCTATTCAACTTCTCCTTAAAAAGTTTTACATTGTTAAACCTCAGTTGATGGATGACGTCGGTGAGTTTCTAGTAGAGAGAAAAAAAGAGACTTTTCTTCTTTTGTTTTAGCTTCTGCCTATTAGCAAACACGTCCCTTTTCAGATTAGACTCAAAGACTAATCAGATTGTTTTTATTGGCCACAATGACAGATAGAGAACACATTTATACTAAAGTAAGAAACAAGCTGGTACCTCAGTGTAGAAGCGCACATAACCAGATGTGAAACCCACAACGATACATGTCCAGTCAGGCCGTCCGGTGGAGCTCCTACACCAGGACAACAATATATAATATACATCCAGACTAAAGCATTTTGTACATCCAAAAAAACATATCTCATATTTAAAAATAAAAAACTTTTTACCTTTTTTGGCTTGCCAAAGGGATACAGATTGCACTGCTGATACACTCTCTGAAAATAGACAAAGAAATGTGCCATATGTCATTAAAAAGATTTAAGCTTAATGCATGAACAACATCAAAGTGGAAGGATTAATTTGTTTGGATGCAGTGTACAACTCCAAACTCGGTCCCACAAACCACATCACGGACACACTACTTGGAGCAAAAGGATCCCATATGAGGCAAAAGCATTAAAGAACCCAAATAACTATTTTCTTCAGATTGGGTCCCAGATCCAATTCTTATGAGATCTAAGGTATTTGTTCACCTTATTTGGTATAAAGTAACAGATTTGTTTATAAAGTTCCTCAGATGATATTTTGGGCATCATCCTCGCTTGTTTTTTTACTTTTGCACAGCTCTGCTTATTCTTTATTTTTCATGTTCTCACCCTTCTTCAACACTGAGGATTCCAGTCCAAGACACAGCCAGAGTCATCTCCTCTCTGCCGCCATCATCTGTGCGCCACTTTGCTGTAAGAGTCAATAGCGTGAGAACAGCTCGGGGACAGAGAGAAACGCGCGTGCGTTTGGACGTCTGACCTGAGAGAAAGGCCGCCCTCTGGTCACGAGCCACCACCAGCAGGTCGGAGCAAGGAGACAAGGACACGACGCAGTCCTGCAGCCAGGGCTCACTCTGGCCCCCGGCCTCCTCCTCCACCTGCACAGAGGAGGGGTTTTAAAATAAACTATTACTGCACGTTCCATTCCTAAAGCCAATAATAATGTTATTTGTGATTTGCTCCTTTTTTTGTGGAAGTGATCATATATTTCTCTTTGAACCGTAAACATTTAAGAGCTTGGATTTACAGCTTTAAAACCCCCTGTTTCTGAATACTCACAGCAGGGGGAAAAAAGCACAGAACAGCATTTTAAAGATTAAATAAATCAATTAAACTGACCAAAGCGGCCGGAGCAGATTCCTCCTCTTTACTGTTGCCATGGTCCCAAGCCGACTCCCAGTCTGACGTGTCCCAAGTCAACTCATTATCTGTCAATAAAGAAAATTTGCTTATGTAAAAAAAATTTTAAAAAAATACATTTATGTTTGTATAGTTTAAAAATACATGAAGGAATTCCTGATAAATGTGTCAATATGATACATCTATTTGATTCCTCTACCCATGAGATTGTAACTTCTTAATACATTTTACTTTAAGTATTGTGCATCATTTTAAAAAAAAAGTAAAAGTAAAGTCTCTGTAGTTCAGCATCCAGCTTTAGAGCATCATGTGCCATCAGTGGGGAGAGTCAGAGCAAAAAGAGAAGGCAGATTATCCTCCTCTCTCCTCTGTACATTACTGACTGCCAAGAAGAAGCTATTTCTATGGGCTTTGCAAAATATCAGATGGTAATGTGTTTGCAAATACACAAATACAAGTTGGCACTAATTGAAAAAACACCAGAAACATGGTACTAAAGAAAAATGTCACATCAGGATAGCTGCATTTCACTGGAGCATCGTTATGACGTCATTAATTCATTTAGACAATAAACAGATATACAAATGTAACAATAAGATGAAATAAAAAAACAACAAGTTTAAACGAAATCTTGAGGTAGGCAAATGCTTTGCTTAACTAAGAGTGGAAACTTCCACCGGAGGCTAACTGGTGATTAGGTGAACGTCGAGGAATAAACATCATCTTGGACCCTGAACGTTACCTGTTTGGTTCTTCTCTTCTGCAGGCGTAGTTTTCTGGCTCAGGAACAAAAAGTCCCGGACCGTTTTGAGCTCCTGGAGCCTGCAAAACTCTACCAAGCTACAGGACATCCCTCTCTTGTCCCGTCAGGAACCAAGAAGGCGAAGAACCAGCCAGTTAGCCTTTTGCTAACAGCTCAGTTGGGAAAAAGACCAACGCTGCTTCAGCCTGTTTCCCGTCCAACTATCGTCTTAACCGTGTGACAGTCTATTCACAAAAACACAAAACCTGTGCTCTGTGTTTTCCGCCGTCTTAAATAAACATGAACAATAATCTGTTATTGTTGTTTTGCCCTAAATCTGCAGCCCTCACCCAAAGGTGTTGATGACACATCTTTAGCATCGTGACATTGTTGTACTTCCGGGTTAAGGGGGCGTTCAGGGTCTTATAAAAAGCCTTTTTAATCTTGTGAAAAAAACACTATACAAACACTATAATAGAAAAATGCGTGACATTTATTTTAAGAAACTATTCGTAAATTCAATAATTTAATCTGTAGTTTGACTACGTGTCTATGAAAACATGTAATAGTTAGATTTTGTCACCAGGTGACAGTAGAGAAACACAAAGCTGTTTCACTGTGAACGCACTGAAACGGATTTTAATTATTATTTTTCTCTCATATTTTTCCCATCTTTCATTTACAGTAACTACAACTTTTCTCTTTATGTTGTTTGTGTTATTTCTCTTCTCTAGTTTTAAGGAATTTCAGACATGTAAAAGTGGTTTAAAGGCTGTCAGTCTCTAGAAAGTAAGAAAATACAATAAAAACTATCCACAAAATCAGAATACTCTTCCCAACCATGAATGGATACATTTGAAATAATGGATACAACTGAAAAAAATGTGCAAGCAACATTTTTTTATGTAGCCTTTACAGAAGCATTGTTCCCAAGGTTGAAACTGAAGTAAACACATTTAGGTGATCTTTGTTCTCTTTAATACTTCTTATTGAATGGCAGTAAAAATGACAGAATCAGCTATTTTTCTCAAGTTTTTCATGTAAAAAAATCAACTCAAACTCAACAACAGAGAGCTGAATAAAGTTTAATGTTTGCAAGCAAGAAAAATACAATTTGATGCTCAGATAAAACTCTAAACAAAGCATCACATGTTCAACCTCCAAAATATGAGAAACTGAATCCAACTCTGAAATTTGGATTCAATCGATGTTGAGTAAATAAACCATAAAGCTCTGACACCACTTCCCTGTCGCTTTTTTTTTAAGCCACTTTCAATCCCCTGGAATTTCTGCGGGGAATAGCGGAACTGTGTCAGATGACCGTTCGTCTCTCCGTTGTGTTTTTCTTCTCAAACAGCCTAAACTGAGAATCGATTCTGCTGACTGGCTCCTGTGTGAACTCTAGTGAGGCTTTTGTAAAGACAAGGAAACACAAGTCCGCTGTTGCATAAAGGGCCTGTGTTTATGAGGTGAATGGTTCCCACAGGCGCAGAACGGCTTCCATTCACAAACATATTCATTTCTTAATCTACATACTGTCCTGGGAGTCATTCCCGCTGACACACACACTGATAAACTCATTTTAGGCAAAGTAGGAAAACGTCTCTTTCCCAATTCCTGTGGATGATGTGGAGGTGGGGAGGAATAGCCAAACCTTCAAGTGACAAACCTGCTTTTTGAAATAACAACCTCACCTACGTATTAAACTCTTGACCCTTGTTTTAAAACGCCAGTGCTCTGACCACTGAGCTGTGGGGGCTAATTTGACACAATATAGGAGCTTTACAGTAGAAGTCACCAGTTATCATGGGTGTTAATCACAGTCACTTAAAAGATAACATGTTCTTTGTTCACGTTTTAAAAGTTATAACATGGAAACAGCTCTTTCACTGTTGAGTTTGGACTTTCTTGACCTCCCTGAGAATCATGTGGATGGAGGCTGGTTAAGTTAAAGGTCACAGTTACTACTTCCTGTCCCGAGAACATAATGCTCGTTGTGTACACGGCCAGCTGCTGGTGGCATTGTTGAGTTCTGCTCCACGTCGCTCTTTCCCATCCTTTCTTACGTGCTCTTAAAAAAGCAACTGGCAATCGTCCAGTTCACTTCTTGTGTTTTCATTTTACAATCCCGACTCGCTCCCCGTCCAGAAACAGCACACACACACACACACACACACAACCCAAAAGCGACAGTACGGCGAAACGAACTCACCCCTGGGGGGTGCCAAACGTTTCCGGTCCGGAAAGCCGGACGCAGAAACTCAGGAAATAATTGGGTGTGAGGTGGGTCGCTGCTTTTCTGGTCCCGGGTCGGTTCTGCTGTTTTACGGGCCTCAGAAACAGCCCTCCATCTGGTTCCCCCTCTTCCTCTGTTGACAAAAAAGCGAGCTGGCATCACCCCGCCACAGGAAGGACGCACTGCCGATAAACAAAGGGGGATGACATTGATATATTTGGAACACACAGAGTTAAAAGACCTTGGTTTTTTTTTGTTTTGTAAGGCTTCAAAGATAAGCGACGTCACTCGGAACCGCGTCTGCTGAAATAAATCATCCCCGGAGGAATAGCATGAGACTGACATGCATGTGACTGAGTTACTGCCAGCCATTTAAAACAACACCTCCATGTAATGTCCACTCATGTGTGCTCTGCACACACAGGAAACACAAACTTTGAGGGAAGTGGCGCAATGTGGAAGATGGATGCTTTTCTGACTTGTCTCTGAGCTCCTTCCATAATGGGACCATCAGGGGGGGAGAAACTACTTTGTCCCGCCCACCGTCCAGCATCTGTATTTACGCCTTTTACCTGATAGAAAGAAATGATCATTTAGTTTCATGTGAATCCCATCCAATGACAAGATTTAAAGCGTTTCATTTGTCCCAGTTCTCGCATCACTGTGAGATGGTGTGTTGGCTTTGGCCGGCTGCTGCTGGCCCAGTTATGTCACTTGACATGACCGTGCAGAATTTCCGCAGCGCATCACACCGAGGGTTCATTTTCCGCCCCGCTTCTAATCTCTTCCTTATACAACTTGCCGCTGTTTTTATTTTTATTTCCATTTTTGGGATGGCTAACTTTTTCATTTGAAGTGGACATACAGTACCTGTGTTTACTTTCAAATCATTTCATTTCCATTACACTGTGCTGTAGCTCTATAAAATCACTGCCCAGCTGCCATGAAGATGGAAGTATGGCTCCAAAGATCACACCGGGCCTTTTTATGACAAATAACATTTGCTAGCTTAAGCTTCTACATGCTAGAAGACAGTCGGTGACCGTTCTGTTTCTCTGCAGAATATTGTGACGTCTGTTTATTGGAGTTTCGCCGCCAGCTCTCTGATTCTATCAGCGGGACAGAAACCCACAAAGTAAGAGTCACATTATCTCAAAAGCATCTCCAAATCATTGACCCTGATCTGACCTCGTCAGACTTTGGAAACCATCTCTGCTGACTAGGTTAAATTTGAGAAATATAAATGCTGTGCAAATGATGACATGAGACTTTCTGATCCTGCTCTACTTGAGCTTTTTGCAAATTGAGCATGAGGGCCTCCACAATTACAAAGTAAGCAAATCTACGGCTCCTTCATTTTTTTTTTTTACTGACCGACAGATACTGTAACTACTCAGCATCACGCCAGAGAACAGGTCGCTCTTATTATCACTGGTGCAGCTTGTAAATTGCAATTATTGTAACGATGAGAAAGAATTCATGTGTTTTCGTGTGCTTTTGATAACGAGGCTAGGCTGGTGTGTCCATCCTCGCATATTTGCAGTGTGACGTCAGGCAGGGACTGCATGTCCAGCACCTCCTAACTACGTCCGGACAGCCGACACAAGCAAAATACCTCTGACCTCCGACCGCTTCAAACAAAGTTGCAACGGAGCACTTTTTAGGTTGATTCAGACTTTCAAAGACTGTCATGATCCTAAGATAGAGGTAGAATGTCTTGATGTGCTGTTACCGTGATTTATGTCCCTGTATGCCAATTTTAATTGTCTTTTTTTTTTGGACGCCGAGATTAACATACTTTGATTGACTGACTGGTGACAATAGAAAAAAACTGAACATTTGGTTGGATGAACCTCATTCCTATTTCTTCAAATCTCTTGGTTTAAAAAAAATGTTCTGGAGGGAAAGTTTGAATTTTATCGCTCAAAAAGAAAGATTCACTGTCTTGTCTACACACCTTCCAAGACGTTAACAACACAACTTACAAACAAAAAATGTTAGGTTTGTAGAAAGGAAAAGGCTGTGTGCTTGCTATCACTTGCAAGTGTTCGTTTTATCCGCTGAGTAATGTTTAAAACATAAAATCATCATATGTTTGCCTCCCAAAAATCACAGCATGCAGCCCATAGTAACAACACATTTATGCTCTTTTATCTCAGTTAATGACTTGAATTGTTTGACATTGAAACTGTTCTTGAAATCTGATAGTGTATCACTGTTTCGTCCCCCTCATACGTAGTCATGTCTTCGTATTTTCTGCCAGTGCTTTCGTATAAAAGTACAAAATATATGTAAAACAAACTTTTCAAAACTCTGTTTTCTCTGAGTTTTGATGAACAGTCGTTCTTATTTCCAAAGTAATCATTCTTTTCTAACATATGCAAAAGCCTAAGAAGAAAAAGATGGTGGACTGATGTTGTGTCTGGAATGCCACGGCAACCGGGGACGTGCTGGTTTCCACCCGACTCAGCACATTTTTGCACTGAGCCTCGTCTTTAGCTTGGCTCTGGAAACTTCATCAGTAATCATCACGAGTTCATATTTGTGAGAGTGAAGACAGCTCCCTGACAAAACTCAGTCTGGAAAATCACTGCAACATGTTCGCAATCCAGAACTTTAAAATGGAGACAGCCTTTCACAAAAAGGGTTTTTTCTGCATTTCAATCAATCAAAAAGTTAGATATTTTTTTTATGGTAACAAGAGAAAAAGCTCATTTACTGCACAGCATGACTAGCGAAAACAAAGAACTGCACCAAGGTAATACATTAACAATAACACACATATAAACACAAATGCTCAAAACCACCGATAACACAGATTAAATGTCAACTTTCTTAATGTTCTTAAAATCTGGAATCCACCTGTTTCAGAGTTGTTCCACATAACCAAAATTAAACCACTTCAGATATTTGATTTTCAAAGGGGCAAATTAAATCCCTGGATATCTATCATTTCATGTTGAATTTGAAGGGCAAAGTCATTTAGATATTTTATGATCATTTAAAAAGAGAAAACCAGACCTTGAACACAGTGTTGTGTTACGTAACTGAATCCATCCTGAAACAAACACCTCACCTCATATCATAAAGACACTTATCTCTGACTGTAAGATTCCATGAAAAGAAACACTGGTCTGCATACTGAAATAATAAAAGTTGATAATCACTTGGTACATGTATTTGATTAAATGGAATTATTATAATTAAACTTAGGAAAAAATGCCCCTTCAATTTCCAAATTGATATCAAGAGCTGGTAATTGTGTGTTTATTTGAACTTGGAAGGATTTGATACAGATAAAGTGGTGAAATTTCAGATCTTAAATATACAACCCAAAGTCCAGTGTGGTCGGCTGTGTAAATTATGACTAAAAACAGCATGCAGGGATTCCTTATCTGTGCTGAGCATATCTCAAACTGCGATTTCTGCCTGTAAGGATGTTACCGAGGATGCTTTGTGCGGTCATTTTGACTGTTTACAGTTGATATGTTTTTTTTTTTTTTACATTTTTTTATCTCATCCTCCCTGAAGCAAAGCCAGTTTTCCATGAGAACAAAAGGGTTTCCTATTGTGGTTCTCAGATCAGAACGGTGTCGTGCCAGCACTCAGGGATGGCATCCTGATATCAACTCAGACTTTAAACAACAAACAAGAGCTTACATCAGCTTTAGTCCAGATGTGGACTTTTTTTTTTTAACGAGTTTGGATATCTTTAAACTAGATGTGATTAAATCATCCTGTAATGCTGACAAAAAACTGTTACTGTAAGTTATCTTATTCTAAAAGGCATACTTGTATACTTGAATGTGTCCTGTGTACCTGGTTAAAGTTAAATGGACAGAAACATTGTATGAAACATTTAGACAGCGAGACAATGCTCAATTCTTCAAGGTCTTTGATAACGAAATAAATCAAGTTGTTACAATAACAACTGTTATGCTAAGATGATTCAATCATTCACTCTTGAGGTCTTTAAGTGAAATTACCTCGATCAAATTTGACATGACAGTATAAGAATAATAAAAAAAATGTAATTAAACTTGTTAAAGTGAAGGTAAAGTACTTCCTGTACAGAGGTTAAGTTTATCTTTTAGTCTCTGTGACAAATGTTTAACTGCTGCAAAGCTGACAGCTCACTTTAATGACACACGCATGACTTTAGTGTCTGCATCAGCAGTCTGGAGATGCCTTTAGATAGTGGGCAGCATGGCAGAGCTTTTACATAAAAGTAATCTTAAACCTAAGAATGAGTGACTGTGAACTTTAGATGAAAACTAGATTTAAATGGAACCTGTTTAGCACGGGTTTTAGTAAAGAATTCATCTAAATTCAATTGATTTAGCAATAATGTTTATTAAGTGTAGTGGAAATTCACGAGTCATCTGAAGACATTTAAAGAGATTAAAGATTAAAGAGATTAAAGAGATTATCTAATTCAGTCCATCCATAATTTGTTTAATATCTAAACCCAATGACAATCAGAAATTTTGTGAATCAAAGTGATAATTAGTTTGACAGCAGTACAATTAAAGGTGTGAGTAAACATTTCCTCTGTGTTAACGTTGCCAGCTAATGCGGACTGAAACTAAACATGGGAGGTTAAAATATGATTATTAATCATTTCCAAATCACTGGATTCTTTGTTTTCATGACAGCAGCAGCTCTAGATTGTTTTATTTATTATATGGACAAAGGGCTTTAACACATGCAGTTATTTTTGTTATATCCACCTTTATGCATTTACATTCGTTATAAAAAATGTGCCCATTCCAACTAAAGCCCTTATTTAAAATTACATTTTTATTTTAGTTTAGAGGGCTCCTCCACAGGCATGCAGAGTTGTTAAAAGAGATCACAAAACAACAATTGTATATTTAATGTTTATTTTACAGGAAATGTACAGTTTTGTTGAAATTCATATACAAACAAACATACAAACATGAATAACTTAAACTTTTAAAAAAGACACGTAAAAACTACACAGGCGCCTACGCTGGAGTTTTCACAAAATGGAGCGACACAAAGAGGAAAACTTCAAACAACCTGCCTAACTTGTTCAGAGTTAATCATCCTCACACATACTTGAAATTCAGCTGACACAAAGTACCTCGGCTGCATAGCGACGCTGTGCTAACATCCTGACAGCCAGTGAAAGTGAGAGAGGACAGAGACACCGAGCGGTGACCCAGGGATGAAACACAACCAGGAGAGAATGAAAAGTTAAAGAAGATCGTGAAAGGTTAAAAAACGTTCAGTGAGTGGCTGCAAAAAATACATTCAATGTTACACTGTATTGTGTTTCCACTGCTTTGCAGAGGAATTAAGGCTATTCGATTAACAGTCACTTGTGTGGCAGAGCTACAGGTCAGATTGTGCAATTTGTGTTAATGCATGATGGGAAAAATTTAATTAAAAAAAAGAGAACCCACTGATATTCCGTTTGGTTGCATAAATTCACTAAATATGGTTATCAGAAGCCCTTTTTTTGACACCTTTTCATTGCAATTTTACCTTCTAAAAGTAACCCCGTTTCAAATTTGTGTGCAAACTAACGTGTGCAAATGGCAGCGGATCAGCAGCACATCCAGCGCTGAGACTGGGAAGCACACGGAAACAGCGGGGGAGGCGCTAGCTAACCGTTAGGAGCACCGATACCAACACGACCCGGCCTCATGCGTCAGGAGAGCATCGACCCGCGCGGCTAACCTTGGCTGCCTGTGACTAGCGGCACTTCAGTGGTCTGTGCCGGTGGGAGGCCCCCCCGGGGGGGGCAAGGCTACGTGTCATTTGCAGAACCGTGTTTGGAGCTACCGCCGGGCTCCCAGCCAATATTTACAAGACAAATACAAAAAAATCAAGTGAAAGAGTGAGACTGAAAGTGGGAATGTTGTGGCTGTGACGGCTTTGTCTTCATCGAACACCGAAGCAGAATTCGCAAAAAAAAAATTCGCTGAGCTGTCGGCTGGCCTGCAGACAGGAGCAAAAGCAATCAGTTCAAAACCTGCTTAGAGGCGCTTCCTGAGATCGGAAAGGACGCACGAGTGTGTTTAGAAGACTAACTCGGTTAGCAGCGTCTCTGTTAATGATTATTTTAGGTCAAAAGCGGGTTTGAGGGCTCAGCTGTTGAAAAGGCTTCTCTGATCACCTCTGGTCATCACAGTTTAGTTGCTCGGATTATACACAGCGATCTGAGACACAGAAAGATAAAATGGATTTCACAAAAATAAATGAAACATCGATTTAAACAACGGAGGCATTGGCCCTTAAACCCTTCATTTCTTTAAGACAAAATGTTTCGGCTCAGGTTACAGAAGGACAGTCTGCCCTGGAGTGGACTTTGATACGCCCTCATCTGACTGAATTGTGCAACGGGAGATGAATAAATCCATGTAGCAATTGAACATATGCTACCATGGCCACCATTTTCAATAAATATCATTAAAAACACCAATATGGTGAATAGAAATTGAAATCATGGGAAATCAAAACACATTTCCACATAGAATTTCAGCCTATGTGTAGAAAATAAAAGAAAACTAATCACTTGTGGAGAAAAGCTGTTTGTTTGGACATTACAATAAAATATTTGGCAGTAAGTTTTTGAAACTGTGTAAAAAAAAATAAAAATAAATGCATAAATAGAGCAGAGTTAAATACTCATGGGATTACAAGTTAGGCTCTTAGGTCCATGATTCAGGACATCATTTGATTGAGATTTTAGAAGGAAACTTGACGCTAAAAACGAGTCAAGGTATTTTCACAGATCACCGATTTGAAATTTGATCTTGACTTTAGAGACCCTCAAAGTGCAATGAGGCCTTTGATATCCTTTTGAATGGGTCACCTGGGAACAGAGACACTTCAATGCGGAGCCGGTCAACAGCAGAGGACCCGGAGGATGTGCTGACCTTCCACTGACTGGCTGGAGGGGATCAGGGTTTCGTGTTGTCCTCCTTTGTATATTCCTCGACGAGCTTTTCGTAGGAGTGGCTGTGCTCCGAACTGTCACTGGTGAAAAGGGAGCCCTCAGACTCAGAGCTCTGGTCCTCCTTAGAGTTCGTCTCAATGTTTTCATCACATGTGGTAATGGAGAGTTTCGCTTTAGAATCGTCATCGTCGTCGCCCTCATCGTCGTCGTAGTCGTCGTCTTCCTCCTCCAATTCCTCCAAGTTGTTGCTGAGAAAGTTTTCCTCGTCTATAAAAGTAATGTTGGCGTTTTGGATGGTCAGAGGATGGTACTCCTTGGAGTCCCATGTCCTCCGGCCACCGGCTCCCCTTTCCCCCGCCCCTCCGCTCTCGAGTTCCACGTCCTTGTCGAGCTGGTTCTCGTACATTCGGTCCTGGTCCCCGTCGGCCTCCACGTGGTCCTCGGTGAGCAGCGAGCCGCTGTCCGAGCCCAGCAGGTAGTTCTTGGACTTGGAGAAGGCCACCGTGACGCGGTCGCTGAAGCTGTAGCGTCTCTTCTGGCGCGGCGATCGGTCCAGGCTGAGGATGGTGTGGCCGTTGAACATGGGCGCGTCGTTACAGCTCTTGGACCGGTTGATCTCTTTGGCCTTCTTGCTAGCGCCCCCGGCGCTGCCTCGGCCCTCCTTTTTGTTGCCGATCTGCTTGATCAGGTCGTTGTAGCCCTCCTGCTTCTTGGACAAGAAGCTGAAGATGTTGACGTCGTTGGGAGTGGGCGGCAACCGGAGGGACGCCTTGTGGGACTCCTTGTAGTGCCGCAGCTCCTCCAGGGAGAGCTTCCGCAGCTTGCGGCGCTTCTTTAAGGCCTTGTGGGCCTCCACAACCATCCTCACTTTCCAGTTGAAGAACAAAGACAGCCAGGCCAGCCCCAAATAGATCCATACCTCCACAAAGTAGCGATAGAGCGTTGGATACTCTTTATTTGGTTCCACACCTGCAAAAACAGAAAAGTTTAAGTATGAATGGGATAGTCAAGGATAGCCATTGATGGATCTTTTTAACTCTCTACTTAAGTAAAGAAAAAAAATGGGTTCATTTCTCGGCTTACCTGCGACTAAGTCCCCAAAACCAATTGTGGTCAAGGTGACGAATGAGAAGTACAATCCTTCGATATATGTCCAACCCTCCTGAGACATGAACACTAGAGGGGGAAGGACTAGATGGACCAGCACTCCCCAGAGGAGAAAGATAGCTGTGCAGGTAAACTGAGCTTTTCTCTGGAAAAGAAAGAGGGATATAAAGCATTAATTCATGTAAACAGGAAAGGCTGCCATCAATATGGGGGGGGGGGGGAAAGCATCAACCCACCAGTGAAAATCCTTTTTTGGTTAAGTACTGGCCCAGGTGCTTGGCTCTGCCCCCAAAGAACTTCCCCAGCTCACTGATCCAGGTGAGACACAACGGCACTCCAAACAGGCCGTAGAAGATGCAAAACACTCGTCCGGAAGACGTCTTCGGGGCGATGTTTCCATATCCTGCAAGCATTTTGAAAAAAAATGGAGGTTGAAGCAATCCTTTAATTCTTAAAATCAAAAGACCTGGAACTTCACCAAAACATGTGACCAGGCTCTTACCAATGGTGGTGATAACGGTGGCGGCAAAGATGACGGCATTGGGCCAGTTCCAGTTGTTGAAGGTCTTACTGCCCGTTATAGTCACGCCTTGGCCTGCAGCATCCGACACTATCTGAGGGCAAAGAGAGTCGAGGCTGTGACTGAGATGCTGCAGGAATTTAATAAACACGCAACAACAGAAAGTTGCCTCCGATTAGCAATTATGGAGCCCAATGAGCTTAGGACATGGGAGGCAGGAAGTTTGTGATGTGCAAGCTTCATTTCTTTCATGGCTTCCTTCCTGTGATATGTCGATGGTATCATCAGAGTTACTGATGAGCTGAAACGACAGCCAGGCACTCGGGAGACCTGCCTTTAACCGGGGGGCCTTACTGTCCCATTTGGAAAGAGAAACAGGAAGGCAAGTGCTGCATCTCTAAACAGCGATTTTATGATGACGCGTGCGTTTAGAAAGACGAGGTGCTTCTGAAATGCTCCCTCTTCTCTACGCTTTATGCAGAGTTTCACTAAATAAACAACACCCAGAATGGTTACTGCTCAGTTTGGACAGGCCACAGCTTTAGAGGCAAAGCCACCGAATCGGTCTACCCTCCTCACACCCAGAATAGAAGAAAGAGAGAATATTCTTTTATTGACCTAACATATCAATGCATTGTGATATTTTTGTCTTTTTTTAATTCTTCATATTCCTATTCTCTCGGTTATTTGTGATGAATATGAACGTGTTGAAATCCAAAGGACAAGAAGGGCTTAATCAATCATTTCCAACCATACTTGTCCCACACCAGCCACAACAAACTGAATCGCCCCTCCTGGGAAAAAGCAAACACCCGGCCATGTGCGCCGGGACGATCCATTAGCCCACACTGCTCTTCCCAGTAGGCTGGAAGGGGAGGAAATCTGCAGGCATGGGCAGAATTCACATAAGCCCTAAAGTACTGGAAGATGCAGGGTTGTTTAATAATGATAGGTCTGTGACAGTGGGCCCTGTAATTACCGAACGAGGGGAGGCCGTTCTTTTGTCTTCTGAAAAAACAAAGTTCCACAGTCGGACTTTAGGGGCCTTAAGACGACAACAGAGATGGCCAAGCTTTTGTTCCAACCATGACTGGAAATTAATGCGGGAAAACTTCAGTGGTTCTTCTTAATCCTTGTGTCCTGTTTTTCTTGTTGTTTTTACATCTACAGAGCCAAACAAAAGTGTTGATCCAGCAATCAGGTCTTTAAATTTTACTACCAAGCAGTCATATCTAATTGTGGTCTTGAGCAATATGGTTTTATTGGGTTTCTAGTTGACTCTTTTTGGAGGGAAGTGATTTTTCTTTGCTCGTAAAGTTGCTTAATGAATCATTCAAGCATTAAAAAGACACCTTACTCAAGGGATGAACCTATACAGATAAAGTTTTTTAAAAACTTTGGCTCTGTATGTCAGGCTTTGTAACTTGCAGCCTGTCACGTCAACTCATTATGTGTCCCCTTTTCTATTGTGGCATCTGGGAAAAATATAAAAGATTGTTCAGCTTTACGGGCGACCACTGTGACATATGTCTGCACGGTGTGCAAAATCTGGCTGAAAATAAAAGGTGGTCAACTCAAATGTTGACTTTCAACCTAGTCCCTTAATTGCAATAATAAAGGGAATCTATTAATTGCTGTCCAGCCTTTTGTGAAGAACTAAATCAGGGGAAGAAAATCCATGATATAAATCCTGATGATAATGAATTCAATGTTTGACTCCAGTAATAATAAATTAGTGTAGAACAGGTCAAATTTTACACATAAAACACATTCAAACACAGCTAGATTTCAGTGTTCCAGCTTTTGTACAAATAGTAGCGGAAACAATAACAAAAAACTCCTCGAAGCAGATTGTGTCAAACTCCACTTTGGTATTTTGTGTTCATGATAACACAGCTGTGCTACTTAAGAAAAAGAAAGCTTATGTTAATGTTACAAAGTTTAAATGACAAACAATGGAGGATTTATGGACGGCTCTGCAGGGGCCACTAAGAAATTTCACTCCACATGTTGGAGGTGTCTGAGGTTTGTTTGCTTTGTAGAAAACAGATGTTTTACACTTGTGCGTCATGTCTGTGGTCTGTGTGTGTGTGTGTGTGTGTGTGTGTGTGTGTGTGTGTGTGTGTGCTAAGCTCTGCACTGTATTCGCGCCTAATAATGGGTATTTGATCTTCTTAACAGTCAGTCTGCCAGATGTAAAAAAAAAAAAAAAAAAAGGTTGATGCAAATGAAACTACTAAAAAAAGCACAAGTGCATCACAGGGTAAGATAGGCACTATATCAGATAAAGTCAAATCTTAAGCAAAATCCTGACAAGCTGAACATGTGGCAACATGTGAGAAGCTCAGGAAGGAATGCAAAACATGCGTAAAAGGTTAAAAGGCCAGCTCAGGTCAACTCTTTTCCACCTCAGGACGAGACGCAAAGGCTCTTCTGGGTGAAACTTGAATCAAATGGAGCCGAAAAGAAGCTCAGCAGTAGGCTGCCTGACAGGCTTCCCTAAATTCCCAGAGAGAGAGGCTGAAAAAAGCCCAGTCACCGTTAAATAGACGTTCATGTGGCGGCCGGTTCTGATGCACTACGAAAGGTCAATTTGAAAATGTCTGCAGAGAAAGTTCCAGAAGGCGATCTGGGTGGAGATGTTTTAGAGGGAAAAAATCCCCAAAACTTAGGACAATAATAAAAAAAACAAAAAGACATACAGTGGGGGAAATAAGTATTTGACCCCTTGCTGATTCTTTGTAAGTGGGCAAACCTGCAAAATCAGCAAGGGGTCAAATACTTATTTCCCCCACTGTATCTAATATTGAAACCAATTAAAGATGGACGATTTTGAATATGCAAAATATGCAAAGAGGGCAAGTCAGCTGCACCAAACTGTGTGGCTGGTTGGGTCTTCGGGGTCTGTGCGGCCTCCGCCTCCTTACTCCGATAACCAAAAAGAACAGTTGAAACCACAACGACACACCAGCGCTTATCAGGACAGCTGGAGGCTCAACGGCCCGCGCCGACTCGGTACTTTTCCACTTCCACGCTGCGTAAAAAACAGCTGCTGGCAGACGAGATTTACAGAGTTACGAACCCCCTTCCCCCAACAGCGTTATGTTTCTGACACATGTGGATGAGCCACACACAATGATGACACAAGGCTGCAACGGAAAAAAATTTTTGGGATTACGTTTAGTTCGGCCCATATTAACCAGTGAGAGTGAGAGGATTCCTCCATCTGTTCTGCATGAGGCCACGTGGCCCGCCACCACACATGGTGCCCGCTTTATTCTCCAGCTTTTTTTCTAAAGTTGACTGACATTTATGTTCATTAAGCTCAGATGAAGCTTCATTTGAGCCGTTTGAGGGTTCAGAAGTGGGAGGATTGCTTACAGCTGTCGGTTAAAAACGCACGAGACGTTAGCGCCTCTCTTTCGCTTCACTTTCCAAAAAGGGGAAGGGAAACTCGGCCGTTTCAGGCCAGCAACCCCAAACAGTAGACGGGTCACATGACAATAGGGAGGTTCCTCCCAAAAACGGCACCGCTTCATGGCTTTTCTCCAAACTACCCCAGGCTACGGCTACACTGAGCATGAGACATCTGTGTGAAGGGTTGAGTTTGCAATGAAAGAAATTTAAAAAATGTGGACACACACAAACTTTGTGTCCTGTGTGAATAAAACCAAACGAGTTCAATTGAATCATCCACTTGAGTTTGAGTTTTTCTGCAAAAATCAGGAGCGTAATGAGTTCAAACAGAAGCTGCGAATAGAGGGAGCTTACAGTCTGCATAATGGGTGCACATGAAAACCAGTTATCCATGACAGATTTAGGCACTGAAATGGCTAAACTAGCTTCAAAGAAGCCGCTAACATGACGGGAAACCTTCCCAAAGAACAAAATATTAGATAATGAGCAAGCAAAGAATGCTTTTTGGGCCCTCAGGTGATATGAGGAGCTGCAACATTACATGCATGTGCTTGTTTTTTGCTGGGGTTTAAGACATAGCATGAGGAAGTCCAGTTGTTTTTGGAGAACCGGTGCAAAAATCCAGTGGATTGAAAGAAAACGGACGCTTGATTCATGGTTCTCGGGACATAAGTGCAGGAGTTTGGGGAAAGTCTTTTTCCGTGCGTGTGTTTCTGAGGGACACTTCGCTCAAAAGTGTTGAGAGATAACGACCGCCCGCCCTCCTTGAACTTTATAACAGCGTCTCAGGAGTCGACGCTGATGGGCCATAAAATCCAATCTTTAAACCGTGGCCACTTCAAGGATCCCGTGGTTAATAGTAAACTCCCTGTTAATAAAAACAGAGAGCGCTGACTTTTACGAGAGTGTCGCCTTCGCTTGTTTTTAACCGTTAACAAGCCCAGAAAAAGTTTCCACAGTGGAAATCTAAGAGAAGCTCTGCGACATATTAAAGCCAGCAGCCACAACACCTTTGCAGCAGGTGTTTATGAGTTAGGAGAGGACAGCTGCCTCGCCCCCCCCCCCCCCCACCCACCAGGACAATACATCCAACCTTCCCCCCGGAGAGGGTTGGATTAAGTGCTTTTTAACCCCCCACATTGGTTTTTTTTTTTTTTTTTTTTTGCCTACAGCTTTTTTTTTTGGTTCCTTTTTGGCTGTTTTTGTTCTCATGACAGAAAAACCTTTCAGTTTTAAAACTCTCCAAGAGTCCAAAACAAACAATTTAAGATGACATTTGGAAGTTGCAGTTGAAAGGAAGTTTTTTAAATAATTCTCTGAAGCAGATGAGTGCGCCCTGCCTTTATACAGGAGCAGATTGGGCCCCTGCAGAGATCTGGCTGTTACAGACTGGTGCCGTGAATGGGGGGAGGTTCATGGGCATATCCCTTTCAGCCCCCCGAACACAAAGAGGAGAGGCAGCAGAAAGGGAGCAGAAAGGGGGGGATGGGGGGATAATAAATCTCCCCAATACTGGGGCCCGGGGCCTAAAAGGGATACAGGTTCAGACGCGTCTCTGCTCGGGCTTAAATGCAAAAACCCAAAGAGCTGATCCTCAATAACTCAGAATATTGCCCCTTAACGGGTTAAAGAGAATATGATGAGTGTTTCCAAAGATAACAGAGATTCATCTGGGGGGAAAAGTTCCACGTGAGCAATAAAACAGAGCAGAGGAGCTTCATAACGTCTCAAAATAAAGCCCGCACACGCTGGAATAACGGACGAATGTGAGGAGGAGCTGTCAGGGAAAAAGACGAAAACAAACAGGAGTGCTGATTTACTGTGTGCTCATTGGCCGCCGGTAGAAAAGCCCACAGAGGTCAGTGGCACCCGCTTTATGACCCGACCACACTGAAAAACAGGCTAATGATGATTTTAAGGCAGGCTTTTACAGACTGGCCCTCCAGTGATAAAAAACCACTCCGGACAAAGAGTCTGTGGAACCGGCCACAGAAAGCTGAGAGGTGGTAAAATAATCAACCTCATTAGCCTCAGATAGAAAGATAAGAAGAATCCACAACTTTTTTGGGGTTGTAAAACTTGGGGCTCGACCCTGTGTGAGGGTGAGCTGACCCCTCCCTAGAGATGAACTTTGTTACTGCCCAGTTAAGTTTCATTTTTGTCTAATTATTTCCTCATTTCTGTCTTGTACTACTTTTATTCGGACCCCCTCAGTTTCACATCATTTCATCATTTACTGATCATCAAAAGTGGTAAACCGAAGAAGAACTAAAGGCGAGAATTGGCCTGACCCCTCATGTTTTGTTAGTTTTAGGTCAGGAAAAAGCTTCCAGACCAGCTGAGGCTCATGGTGGGTCAGATGGGGGGAAAACTGCTGCATAACTTTTAATCGCATTCACTCTGATTTCCCCTCATGAGGGGTTTCTGTGAGGGTAAAAAAAAAAGATCAAGCTGCATTTAGGGGAACCTACCTCTAATATTTTGTCCAGATCATCCTTGGACAGACAGGGGTAGTCCTCCAGGATTCGGTCCTTCTGGGCTCTGTACTGCTTCGCGGCGCGTTTCCAGTTGGGCTCCTCCAGGACCTGGAATATCGCCGCCCCGATCGAGAGGTAGAAGATGATGGCAGAAGTCAGCAAAGGGCCTTTATCTACCATACTTCTGCGCAGCGACTCAACCTGAAGCGCGCGGGGCTGTGCGTCCGGATGGGGGGGGGTTGGGGCAGGCGCGCGCTCTCGGGCTCCGGGTTCGGGCTGCGGGTCGTTTCTCCGGGGCTCGGGAAGGAGCGGATCAGAGACCGGACCAGAGACCGGATCAGAGACATAACAGGGTGCAAGGAACGTCTGGATGAGCGTGGTGAGGGGGGGGGCTGCGCGCGCGTGTGCGTGTGCGACCGTATCCAGCCGTAATGATCTACCCACGTGCGCGTCCGGGCGAGGAGTGCGTCCTGAAGTAGTGAGTGGCTGAAGGCAGGGGGTGGTGGTGGTGGTGGATGGGGGTGGGGGGGGGGGGGGGGGGGGGGGATAGACCCGCCCAGAGGCCGGGCAGGGAAACACCCTCCCCGGCCTCAGCTGTTTGGCTGCAGGTGCACGGCCTGACACATTTCCTCCAAACGCCACCCCAAAAGAAAGTCAATATCAGCCAGAAAGGACTTACAGGGAGGCCTCTGGCCCAGACAGGCTCCAGACAAAGCTATAGTGGAGAGGTGGCTGGTTTAAGTCAAGTCTAGTAGGCTTTATTGTCAATTTCTTTACATGCGTTGATCATACAAAGAATTGAAATTTCGTTTCTTGCTCTCCCGTGCAGACATAGCCATAAATTAGATAAGTTAGATAAATTACACATATAATAAGAAAATTATGTGATATAATAAATAAAAAAGTGATCAATCGTAATGTGCAAAGCGGCAGCGTGCGTCTGTGTGTGTATATGTGTGTGTATGTATGTTTTTTGAGTTGGTTCAGTGTGTGTGTGTGGGGGGGCTATTCAATGATGGGCGGGTTAAGTGTTCAGCACTCTGATTGCTTGGTGTATGAAGCTCTTTGCCAGCCTGGTGGTACGGGAGCGGAGGCACCTGGAAGTGCAAGGAAGTTTTTCCTTGCCTGTGTCGCCTAGTGCTTGCTCATGGTGGGAATTGTTGGGTTTCTGTAGTTAACTTCAGAGTCCGGTCTGACCTGCTCTGTCTGGAAAGCGCTGTGAGACAACTGTTGTTGTGATGTGGCGCTATATAAATACAATTGAATTGAATTGAATTGAACCTGTACCTCTTTCCAGAGGGCAGGAGGCTGAACAGTTTGTTTAAAGGGGAAACCCCGTGAGGAGAGAGGGGATTTGGGCCTCTGAAGGGACCATCCAGGCCCCAGTCTAACCCTAACCCTAACCCTAACCCTAACCCTGACCCTGACCCTAACCCTAACCCTAACCCCTGTCACCTCACAAAGACGCCCTTTTACTGGTAACATCACAACCCCACAATCTTATCTACAGTGGGGGAAATAAGTATTTGACCCCTTGCTGATTTTGCAGGTTTGCCCACTTACAAAGAATGCTTATTTTTCCTCATCAGATGGTTATCAATTTTTATAAATTCATATGATGTGATTTTCTGTAATTTTCTTTGGGATTCTGTCTTTCACTGTTAGAATGTACATATGATTAAAGTTATAGATCATTGCATTCTTTGTAAGTGGGCAAACCTGCAAAATCAGCAAGGGGTCAAATACTTATTTCCCCCACTGTATGTCTTCATTACTGCCCTGTTAAGTTTCATTTTGTCTAATTATTCGTATTACAGCTTGTTTCCTCATTTCTGTCTTCTACTACTTTTATTCGGACCCCCTCAGTTTCACATCATTTATCATTTACCGATCATAAAAAGTGGTAAACCGAAGGAAAATTAAAGGTGAGAATTGGACAATTAATCATAGTTGTCAAAGTGAAGAAAAGTGAGGGGAAAATTGAACAGAAACAAGTTAAGACAGAGTAACACAACCATCTGTTTTTGTTTATTTTTCTTGTGTGAAAAAGTTGTCTGTGTTTATATGCAAACCAGATTTCTGATGATGTGTTTTTCATGTAAACACCTAATCCTGCTTCCAGAAACATACATTAAGGCTAATCCTGGTTTTGAGAAGCCTTGGTGTACATCATTAGGGATTAAACACCGTAGAACAGAAATGACTGGATACAGGGATGTGAATAAGAAGGTTTCCCATGTTCCATGTCATCATAGTGTTCACTTACCATGTAAAATGTAAATTAAAACAGACTCTGATGATTTAAATGTCACATAAACCAATAAAACTTAGACAAATATACCTAGATGTGAAATTAATTTCAGATGACAATTTAATGAAAAATTAGGCTCCAGTCCCCCTATGACCCCATTAAGGAATAAACTGTTCAGAAAATGGATGGATGGATTTTATGAAAAATGTTATCAATGCTCATCTTGTATTTTGAGTGCTGGAAACTTGTCCAGGTGATATCTGGGATAGTTTTCTTCTTTGCCTGAGCCCGTTTGAAATGTGCTGACACTGAGAAAACAAAATGTGTGTTAGAAAAAACTGCAAATAAAAAATGCATCAACATCATCTTAGGTTCTGATCGTGGCGCCACCGGGTCAGCGAGTATAGATCATGTGATATCCTCTGCTTGCAAAGCTTTCAGTTGCATTTTCAGAATTTCACAGAGTCCCATCACATGTTGGACATACAGCAGCTGTCCATAAAGAAATCCACCCAAACCTGTTTGACCGTGTGGCTTTAAGTTTGCTTCTTCAGAGGCCTTTTTGCATCCTTGTGCTGACAACGTAAAGACAGCTGAGAGTTAGCAGATTGCCTCTTAGTGTTTCTGTGTTTGCTCTGGTCTTTGTTGACATTGCGATCAAGTGCGGGTATTGAATTGTGTTTGAGTATGCCGGCAGACTTTAAGCCTTAAGACAGAGATGATATGTTTTATGATGGCTAAATCAGAGCCGGGTGTCTGCGTATTTTGTTAGCAGGTGTGAGAAGCGGAAAAATAACTGTTGTCACAAGATCTGCTGAACTCATGCCAGCCGGAGTTCAACACAGAAGACAATAGACAATGAGAAGACTGATCCCTGCTAGACTTCTTAATCTTGGCTTGTTTTTTCGTCTTTCTGCGCTGGCTTTTATTGCCCCAGCAAGTACTGTACAAGTGAAGCATAAACTGTTAGTTTTTAGACACTTGCAGTAATGCAAAAGGTTCCTTTTTTTCTGAGTGCAGCTGAAAGACTTCAGCAGAGACTCTGTGCGAGGCTCGTAGGAAGTGGTGACGGATAAACTGAGCAGGCTGCACAGGTCTGTGCAGCGCGTGGAAGTGCAAGTGTTAACCTGTTTTCTGCACCGTTCCAGAGGAATCAAGCTACGCGGAAAGCCTGCACAGGGCTTTTTGACATTTCTCCTCATCCCAGAGCAAAAAAAATCGTCGATTTTTTTTAGTTGACCTACATTGTAATGACAGCAAAACTGACGAAACGACTCACAAGGACTGACGTTACTGAAAGAATTAGGTCAACTGTAAATTGGGGATCTCAAAATCCAGCTGTCATTCAATTTAAAATTATTCACAGGCTTCATTACTGTAAGGTGAAGTTGCATAAAATTTTTCCTAACACATCCCCACTGTGTGACAAATGCCATATTGCAGAAGCTACGCTTCTCCATTCTTACTCTTTGTGTACAAAATTAACCCCATTTTGGTCTGGCATATTTAAAATTTTATCAGATATGCTCTGTATAGAGTTAGGGCTGGACCCACTTCTGATTGTACTCGGAATTTCTGTTCAGCTTTCTCAATTTAATAAATATCAACGGCAATTATTATCTTATGCCTTTATCATAGGAAAAAAGCTAGTGCTGATGTTCTGGAAAAAACCAGAGGTTCCATCTGTTAAATTGTGGCTGGAGGAACTGGTGAGGCTCTCTCATTTGGAAAGAGTACGGTTTTCATTAGCAAATAACTTAAAGCGATTCAACAGAACTTGGCAACCCCTTCAGCAATATATTAATAACCCTATTTGAGGATGATTTGTTTTGGTTATTGGTGTGATCTGATGTAAGTCCCAGGAAAAGGGGAGGAGGGTGGGTTGGGGGAGGGGAATGTCCTTATTTTTGTCACTTTTGTTTTGTTTTAATTTGGTATTGTCTTTATGTTGTATGTTCACATAAAAAAAAAAAAAGAGAACAAATATATATTGTTGAGGTTGTAATTCTCATGTTTGATTTCTCAATAAAACAGTTTGACAACTAAAATCCAGCTGTCGTGTCTCTTTGCTCTTCCACCTGTTGGAGCTGCTCTATCGGTTGAGTAAAAAATAATCCCATTATCATAAAGGAGCATAATTTCCCATTTTACTGGCATACAGCAGGACTTTCCAAAGAAAGTCATGTGCAAAAGTTAACTGCTTTAAAAATGAGAAAAACACATATAAAATGGGATTCAGATACAGGAAATCACAAAGATTCTTACGGGAATTAAACTAACTATTTAATTTATTCCAAGCTATGTGGAGCGAGTTATTAGGCTCTCAACTGCACATAAACATATATATTTCCATCCCAGAAGTCTGACTTCCTCCTATTGTCCCAAAACAAGTTGATTGGTAATTTCCATTTAGGAGTTTAGTGTTCACAGCTTTATATCAGTTGAGAAATACGTCTTTTGTCTTCATGTTGTCGACAGAGAAAATAAAGATTTCACATAATTGGCAACTCTTCTGTACCAGTATGCAGGGTAGCTCACTAACTGATAAAAAACGCTTGTGAAATGGTGCAAAAGCATGCACTTTTCAGCATTGCTGACTCATGCGTGTGCCCGTTTCAGAGGCAGGGCGTTCTGCCAGCGATAGAGATCAGAGATGAGACGTGAGACAGCTCAGCAGGTTAAGTAATCTCCCAGCATTCACATGATATGTTCAAACAAGGCATTCTCATTTTTAAACTTCAAAACCCGACCCTCCTCGTTCGCACCAGATAAGAAACTCGACCTGAAAATGTGACTCTCTGCTACTCTGACAAGTCACAGGTTAACGTAAAACTCGTTTGGTGTGCTTTAAAAATTGAATTTTTTTTTTTTGACAGAACAAAACCTTCCACTGTCAGTCTCATGATCTTCTGGAGTTTTCCATACAAATATGTTGTTTACTAGACACAGACTTGAAGCTTATCTTGGTTACTTTTGACTTTTGTCGTTGCACATCAACATTGCACATTTCAATTGTTCATTTGTACATTCGGATCTATATTTTTAAAGATTGTATTTTTCAGTTTGATATTTTCTGTCCTGTATTTTTATTTCTACATTGTATTTCCTTCCTTGCTTCTCATAGAAGTGTTGTGTTGTGCACCAAACACCAAGGCAAATTCCTTGTAAGTCTAAAAACGTACTTGGCAATAAACCTTATTCTGATTCTGATTCTGATTCTGATTCTTTTTGCTCAGTTATAGCCCTGACAGTTGTTCCTGGTCTTATGAGTTTGAGGTGTTGCCTAAAGGCCAAATTCTAATGTGGCTGGGCTGGGGGAAACCACTACCACCATTAATCAATG